TTCATCGTGATAAAGTGTATATATGTATTTCTGTATGCCATGTTTTGGCAACTTTATCAACAAACTGCAGTATGTCCCTTATGTTTGCGTCATCTACATTCGCTATCAAATTAATGGAACCCATTACCAGTGCCTGTGTACAAAGACTCTTACTAGCTACTCCGCTTCATCCATCGATATTTGTTAGCCTTCCATTGATAGTAGGTGGAGCATGTATGTTTACTGGAAACCCACTGACAGATACATCTTTATCTAAAGGCACCCTCCTGGCTTTTTTGTCCAACGTCATCCTGGCAGTCAGAAACGCGACAATCAAAAAAGACCAACACAATTCGTCCAGATTGAATTTACGTCCTTCTTCAACTATAGCAATGGTGATCATTTGTCATCTGGTTTTCACAACAGTTCTTTATCTTATTGAAAGTCACTTTGGTGCTGAAAACATTTTGACACGTGCCGTCTTTTTTACAGTATTGTCAAGTGTTTTTCATGTGGTGTATTCTTACATTTCCACAAATATGGTATTGAGGTACATGTCGGTGTTAAGTCATTCCGTGTGCAACATTATGAAAAGAGTATTAGTGGTTATATTATTGTATATAGTCGGCAGTAGACATGCCTCGTTTTCTAATTTTCTGGGCTTGATGGTTAGCACTGTTGGATTGTTTATTTATGTTGGTTTCAAAGTATCCTTGAAGAATTCTAATGATAGAGATGCCACACCTAAAGAACAAGGTAAGGATTTGAGTTCATAGAAAAATAATCATACTGTCATTACAAAGGACGTTAGTGTGCTTAAAGGGATATGTGTGCCATAATTTTGGACCATCATAATAAGCCAATCAATATCAGTGTTCACTTCGCACATCTGAGCCTTTAAATCCATGTTTTTCCAGAATTATTCGCATTTGAGACGCTGTCGTAAACTATGTATAACATGATAAACGAGAATTTCCTTTGATTTTTTTGTTGTACAAACGAGTGGTAGTAGTTTAGCTGTTCTATTAAAGGTTATATACCACGGTTCCACAGTAATGAGTCAAACACTTGATCCACAGTTTTAACTCATTGCGGCATTGATCTCGATAGCGTTCTATCCGATAAAATAGAAGCCCGTGTAATGCGTTTAGTTAAAAAGGGAAAGAGCTTTTGCCGTGCACGAACATCAAAATGGACTAGCTTTAGCATACCTAAGCTACACCTATTTTCTTATTTGGCTTTCGTGTTAAGTTATCTAAGTTTATAACAACAAACTGTTGATAATAAACCCTGGATTTCCTAAAAAACATCAAAGGAAAAATAAACAAATTAATGTTACAATTCGCTGTTATAGCACGATTAACTCTATAAATGTATAGATTTTATTTATATTCGGTGTTTTAATCGATAAAGATATGGAAACAGTGTTATAAATATCACTTCATACATCTTGCTATTGTTCCTACCCTTAAAAAAAAGTATTTAGGAATAGGATACCGGTATTAATTTCGAAAAGATCCTAAAATTGGATTGATAGTATGAATTTATTTTGCAGGTAAACGAGACAGAATGAGTATCAAGATAGCTGCTTTCCTCATTTCACTTGTTTGTCTGAGTATAATTGGAATGTATAGCGACACCAATGTAAAATTACGACATAGGTTTGATAATGTTGCAAAGATGCCTTTGGAAGACTTCGCATTACGTTCATTTGGCAGAAAATCATTAGACATGATGGACACGTCAGATCTGGAACCGTATGTCGATGACGGCCATTTTGAAAATGGACCACGTCTAAAACGATTTCTCAGAAAAAAGCTGATACAGACACCTTACGATACTGATATTCTGTCCCCGCATCTCAAAACCAGCACAGAAGTTATCCGAGAGGCTCAAAGAGTACATTTCAACCTCTTTAAAGATTTGCTTCGTGGTTTCCGGTACGCCATGTTGCTTGATGTGGCTGCGTTAGAAAACAAAGGAGACCCAGCCATTTCTTCGGGTGAAATTTATCTGTTACGAAGACTGGGTATTGATCTCATTTACTACTGCAGTTTTAGATTATGCACCGATAAAAACCTTCAATATGCTCAGAACATGAGTTCAATCTATTCCAATAAAGAACTCGTTATTCTCGTTCATGGCGGCGGAAACATCGTTGGATATCCTGTTAGTGATATCCTAAGGTTCAAAATTTTGGATCTTTTTAAAGGTTTTAAAATAGTGGTTATGCCACAAAGTATATTCTTGATACGTCAAAATACACATTTCGAGCATTGCAAAAAGCTTTATTGTTGCAACAAGAATTTAACATTTGTTTTAAGAGACCGACAATCACTTGCTATGGCTCAAACGTTCTTCAACAACGGCACAAATCTAATTATGACACCGGATATGGCATTTCAGATTGGAAGAGTCAAACGATATATGAGTCCCATGTATGATATATTATGGCTAAAACGAAAGGACATAGAAACGCCAAACTATAAAATACCCAGGATACCTGAAGAGGTATCTGTTACAATTCAAGACTGGTTGCATTTTCTAACGCCAAAGGGAAATAACTCTTTGGAAAATGCCTTTCTAATAGCAACTAATGGTATGATGTTCTTACAGAGAGGTAGAGTTGTGATAACAGATAGACTTCATGGTCATATTTTATGCACTCTATTAGACATACCTCACGTATTAATAGATAATAAATACAAGAAGTTGTCCAGCTATCACAGAACTTGGACTCGAGGGGTAGAGAACACTTTAATTACCACAAACGCCACCGAGGCAGTGTCTTTAGCTTTACAGCTTTTGAAAAAATATACTAACGTTATTCCACCTGTGGCGCCATTTATGAATGTGGTTGAAAATCCAGTATAAAGGGTTACTCCTGTAGTACCAATAGTTTTTAAGAAATCACAAAGATTCCTCGTATAGCATTTTAGGCTAGATCAGTAAAGTTATGTACACAAAAAACAGTATTGAATCCTGTATAGTCCATTTACAATGGCAGTATGCAAAATTGCCATTACATTACTACAAACGTCGTATATTATACCTGAAAACGTCTTTAAGAGATGCTATTATCATCTTTGTTTCTACTTAATCAAACTGAATTAGTTTTAAAAGGGTTATAAATGAAGTGTAATATTTGTTAAGTAAGCAGCTAAAACTAGTTTTGGAGTTAATTTTAGTAACCTTTATAAAACGCAGGAGACATTCTTCTTCAAATAAAAATTAGGCATTTATTGTGCTTAAATCCGCACAGTAGTTTTTTTTAACACTAATGATTAATATTTACCCGAGGGTAAGAAGGTTTGCAACTAATATGGTTATTAAAATATATGTGAGGCATAGTTAAGGCTTCGTCCTGAAAATAACAATTCATGTAATAGTTTTTACTGGTTTTAATATCATTAATAGGCATCAACTCATAACTTTGAATTTTGTTGTAAATTCCTAATTAATGTACATAAAAATGAAGGCAATATACACCACTATAGAGCTGTTGCACATTTATTGAAAAATAATTCATTTACTACTGCCACAGACAGTGTAAAACTCCAAGGCAAATTTGTCCCATAGATAATATATTTATTGGCTTTATCTTCAGGGTTGGTTCAGAACCATATTTATATGAGAAAAAAGGTTCTCATGTCAATCTACAGATTTTCCTTCATTAATTACTTTGGTCGTGTGAACTGCTCAAATTGAAAACTGACTAGGATTGGTGTATGTTTGATGTATTAAGATGATTCTGTTAAATGTGAAATACAAGTATTAAATTGTGTCTCAGGATAACTAACTGTCGTTTCATTTTTGCAACTGCAAACTTAGTAGTAATAGAACATATAGATTGGGG